GCTTAACTTGTCTGGGTAGGTTATTCTCAGTTGAAATTGTTTATCTTTTAGAACTTTGAAGATAGGGCTCCAAGCTCTCCTAGCCTGGAGGGTTTCTGTAGATAAATCTGCTGCTATTCTAATTGGTCTTCCCTGGTAGGTAGTCTGACCTTTTTGTCTTACAGCCTTTAGGATTTTTTCTTTTACATCTACTTTGTTTAGGTGAATTATTATATGTCCAGGAGTTGGCCTTCTCATTTGGTGTCTTGCAGGGGTTCTCTGAATCTCTTGTGTTTGAATTTTTTCATCCTTGATAAGATGAGGGAAGTTTTCTTGAATGATTTCATGAAATATTTGTTCCAGTGTGGCCTCTGTTTCTCTCTCTGCCTCGGGAAGGCCAATTACTCTTAGGTTCTGTCTCTTGAAGTGGTCATTTATCTCTTGAAGGTTTTGTTCTGTCTTTTTGAGCTTCTTTTCTATGTTTTTGACAGTTTGGGTTAGTTCTGTGTTTTGCTCTTCAAGCTCTGAGATTCTTTCTTCTGCTTGGCTAATTCTGCTTTCCATGCTTATTAGTTTGTTATTTATTTCCATCACAGTATTCTTTACTGCTGTTATTTCTGACATCAGCTCCTTCCTGTTTTTCTCTTGTCTCTCCTCAATTTTTTAAATTCTCTCTATTAATGTCTTGATGTCTGGGTTTGTTGCACATGACCAGTCATTCTGGGGGCTCTTCATTGTTTGTGTTCCGGATTCTGTTTTCCCTGTGTCTGATCTCCCAGGGGCTGTGTGAGACCTATATTCTTCTTTTGGTTTTTCTTCATTTGTGCAGTTTTCCCCCTCCCTACTTTTTTCCTTCCCTCCACGTCACTGTCTTCTTCAATTCTGTTATTCAGGGGTGGAGGGGTTGTTTTTACTTCTGTTTTTTCAATCTCCTATTCTTCTTTATGTATGTCCTCTTACTTTGTTCAGTTCTGAAGTTGAACTGTACATTTTGGGTGGTCCTTTTTGCAGTTTTGAGATTTACTTAAGGGGGGAGCTGTGATTCAGAATCTGTCTGCAGGTCCTGGTATCTACCCACAGGTGTATGAATAATCTGAAACCCACTTCCCACTGCCTTGGAATCTGTCCATGCAGTGGGTTGTAGGTTTACTCCCTGAAATAAAATGCGGTTAACAGAGGGAAGAGAATGGAGCAGGCAGTGGGGGGGACGTGGGGGGTGGAGAGAGACAGGAGTAAGGATGAAAACAGCCGAGTGTGTACCAACAAATGGAGATAGAGACAAAAATTAAAACATATAAAAACAATACACCACAGCTACAAACTGACCAACTCCCATACAAAAAAACTAAAACATACAATGTTGCTAACATACAAGCTTACCAACCTCCTTATTGGTGTGCTATTCCTCTATACAAAGATATGGTTTACAGAGAGAAGAAAATAAAAGAAGGGAAAAGAAGGAGAAAAAAAAGGGGGGGGGGAACAAAACAGAAGGAATAGAATCAAGCCAGTAGACTAACAGAACCAATCAAGCACACTCTGAGATTTTTGTTTAAGTCGAATGTCCTTTCAGCTCTGATTTCTAACTGTCTTTTCAAGTTGGTAAGTTTTTTCACAGTTAGGATCAGTTGCCCCTGGCCTGCTGTGAAGGGCAGTTCAGATCATCACTCAGTTCAACACTGCCCGGTTCACTACTCACATCTGACCTGTGTCTGTCAGGCTTCCATTTTTCCCCTTTCGGTGTTGTTACCTTGAATCGCCAGCAGGTGGTATTATCCCTCTCTCCAGATGGTCTTTATCACAGCTGCTCACCTGCCCCTAAGGGGAGGGAGATGTTGCCTGGAGGCACACAGGAGGAGACCCACGGCCTGGCAGGACATCCGTGGTTGTAGACCTCAGCAGATCTTGCTCGCAGGGACTTCAAGGTCTGAAGTTGTGGATCGCCTCAGGCACTGGCCGTTTGATGTGTAATGGCTGCCTCAGGCACTGACGGTCCGTTATGGAATGGCTGTTTCTGCGGTGGTGGCAGCAGCAGTGGTGGCTGCGGCTGGCCTCAGGCATAGGAGGAGCGATGTATAATGGCTGCCTTGGAGGTGGCAGTGGTGGCTTGCCTCAGGCATTGGCGATATAATGTGGAATGGCTGCCGGCTGCACTGGCAGCAGCAGCGAGGACAGCAGCGGCAGCCACAGTAGCTGCCCGGACCGCGGTGATGCCTCAGTGAGGTCTACAGCCTAGCTCCGATTGAAGAGCAGGTTGCCAACAATGGGATCTGCAGCCTCCAGGGAGAGAACCAGAGTCTCTTTGTGATCTCCTCGGTGGAGAGTCTCACAGACCGAGCTGCCCCGTCGCCATCTTACCGGAAGTCCTCGGGGATTGTTCATTAGTCCACCTGTTCCTACAAGTAAATGACACCAGACTTGCTACTGCTGTTGCCATCTACTGGTGACAGGCAAAGTTAACACACCGTGGTTCTGTTGTCTTAAGCTAAAAATCTATGTAGAAGAATATGTATTTTGTTATGCAATTTGCACCAGTTCTCTGATCTATGTTCCTTCCCTTTATATACTTCATTTACAACAATCTTCTTTTTGTTTGTCCCACATACTTGTCTCATTTTCACCTTAGGGCCTTTGCATTTATCATCCCTTCTTCTTATAATACACTTCTACAAATCTTCAAACAAGCCAGCTTCTATCACCATTTACATCTCAGGGGAAATGCGATGGGTGGATACCTTGACTATGCTGTACCCACCCCCTCCACCAATCAATCAACATCTCACTCTGTTACATTTTCTTTGTAGTATTTGTCATTTACTAACTTTCTTTCATCATTTATTACTTGTTAATTGATCTCCTGCACACGTCTACATATGAATATGAGCACCATGATGGCAGGGAGCAAGGAGCTTGAAGGACAGAGCCAAACAAGACCTATATTTTGCAAAGGAGATGTTCAATAAATATTTGTTGTATATATGAGTACATAGACTATGTATGTCTGCCTGTTGAAATCCTATTTATCTCTTGAAGTCCCATCTTTTCCAAGAACTTCCCTAATCAGATGTCTTTTTTCTCTTTCACAGAACTTTTTATTCTATACTTAAATGCTCTTATTTTCCTTTGTATAGCTGTTATGTTCTCATTCTCAGTCTAAAATGTAGTGGAATATAGGGATCATATTTGACTTATTTTAATATATATTTCAGACTTAAGAGCACAATCAATGCTCAGAAGATATTTGTTGAAGTTAACAATAAATAAAAATCAACCATATTAAAAGATTGTTGACTATTTTATTCTTTTTCTTATTATGAAATATTTAAAACATACAAAAATATGTACAATAATATTATAACTAGTACCCATTTACCTATCACCAACTTTTAAAAATTAATATTAAATGTAAAAACATTTATTAGTAACATTAGAAACATTACTTTTAAATTCATTGTTTGACTCTCATTCTTTTCCCCTCCTTTCTTCCCTGAATTGACCATGACCCTGAATTTAGTGTTTGCAGTTGCTGCATATATGTGGTGCATGGGCATTTTACTACTGCCATCTATCTCTGTGTGTGCTCACGTTTGAGCGTCCATTTACAACATGTGATATTATTTTGCTTGTATTTAAATAGTATGTAGCATGGGTCATTAAACACTTTGTTCCCTCAATGTTATGTTTCTCAGATTGTCCTTGTTGACCCATGTACTATTAGAATCTAGTGGTGGGATTGTTTATTTTGTCTGCTGTGTAGTATTCCTATATATAATAATCTCACAATTTATTTGTCCTTTATCTTGCTGAAAGGCATTTAATTTTCCCTTTTCACTCTTGCAAACAATACCACAGTGAACATTCATATACCGTTTTCTATTGCTTCCTAGGGAGTTACTCCAGAGTTTATGCTAAAAAGAGGAACTTCTGGATTAAACTGTGAACACCATACACGGCATGCATGGCATGGTGATTAAGAATCCGGAGCAAGGCTACTGGGTTTGAATCCCTACCTTGCCACTCTCCTAGGAAGCAATGATCACCAGCTATTTTCAGCCTCTTTTCATGAGTGTGTATGCCCTACCTCAACCCCTGGCATCAAGTAGTTTGCTTGGCATAGGTCCTCTTGGCTTTGGCAAATTCTGCCAGAGCCAATTCCCAGCTGCCACTGCTTGCTTCTGGAGCCAGAACCCAGCAGGCCTGGGGATTCACATGCAATCATCACTTTGCATTTCTGCACCATTTCTGGTCCATGGAGAGGTTTATTTTTGAGCCTGAAGATTTTTTTTTTTTAGTTTTCCCTTTTAATATTTTATTTATCATTGCTATGTATCTGGAGCAGAGGGAGTGTATCAAAGCATGAACTTTTTCTGTTACTGTACCAGAAGTTGTTAAAACCTTTATGACCTTTTAAAATATGCACATGTCTTAGAATCATTTAATCATACATTTTTGTTACGGGAAAGCATTTTAGAGATAATTAAGGCCAATAACCTTATTTCATAGGTGAGGGGAATCGTGGTCTTGAGAAATTAAGTGATTTACTGATGTCACATGTCTAGTTGATGCTAGCAGGGCTACACCAAAGCATGTGGGTCCCTTCAATAGTCCTTTTACCACTATGTTCACTATCACAGTTTTCTCTGTTGGCTATATTTACATGTAACATTTTATTTTTAACAGAGTTGAAAAATGCACTAGAATTTAAGCAATTAGAAAAATGATACCGGATCTTAGAACTGACATAAAATGTTTTCTCTTGGAAAATATTGAGATAAAAATAAATGTATAATATTTACTCCATTGAGCCAAATAGCTTTTCATTAGAACATACAATGTCTTTGACTTTGTAGATTCCTGCTGCACCTGGTTTCCTTGACTATCTGAAATTTATTAGGATGGGCCCATTAATAACAGTGCTGATATTGTCAGCTACCTATAGCACTAGGCCTGAAAATGAACTGTGATGAATGGATATGACCAACATTTGCAGTGATAGTCTTTATTTCTGCTGTCATGTAGAAATGGCAGGTAGTTTAATTTAGTTCCCCTAAAAAGTGATTAAGAAAAAGCAAGTATTCCTTCTAATTAGGATTTCTACTTTTTAAGGATAAAAATTCAGAATCTGGTATCTTTGTTAAAGCCTTTGGTACTGTTTTATTCTATTTCTAGATCTTTTAGCTGTGCCTAAGCATCCATATGCTGCTATGGAGAACTGGGGACTAAGTATTTTTGTGGAGCAAAGAATACTGCTGGATCCCAGTGTTTCATCTATTTCTTATTTGCTGGATGTCACCATGGTCATTGTTCATGAGATATGTCACCAGGTATGAGAAAAGGATCAGGTGTAAGTATAACGTGCAAGCTAATGAAAATGCAGAATGATTTCAGATACATCAATTAATTAAGAGCTAAATTATTATCCTCTCAATTAAGTTTTAATTTTTATATGAGTACTGTATAGTTCTTTCTGGACAATATTCCATTTTTCTCAGATGATAGCACAAACAAAAACAAACACACTGATCATATTGAATGTGCAACTGTAATTCAGTTCAGTTGAGGAGATGGCACTGCCACCCAGCAGCCTCTTTGGAACCCCTATCCAGTTGCTGTTATCAACCTCGTTTTATTTTCTAGTGATTATTAATATGTGTATATGGCAAATGCAGTGATGGCAATGATTTATCTCATTGTTACAGGATGCAGATGAGTTTTGTGTACGTGTCAAAATTTGCTTTGGCTGAAATCAATTTGTTATGCCCTTTTTCCCATCACATAGACACTTAGGAAGTCTTTCAGTAACTCATCTGTAGACGCTTTGTTCTCAAATGATTGATATTTTTTGTCTTGGCATGTTTCGAAATTCCTATGTAAATTAGCCAACTTTGTAGTGAAGCTAAGATAAAATTAATTCCATTTTGATTTTATGCACTTTCATACAACGAATGGAAGGTATTAAAGAGATTTCACAGTGCTTATTTGAATCTTGATTTTAGTGAAAAAATATCACTAAAAATAGACGTTCATGCTGATAGTAAGTGATATTGGTCCTGGTTACCAGTAATTGTGGATTATTTTAAACGTAAAACACCAGAAGTTTCATTGTGATGCAGTATGACTTCAATACATTATAAACCCCAAATATTTTTAAAAGCTAGAAAAACTAAAGAGTGATGTGAAAAAATGTTGTCAGTGGAAGAAAGTGACTTGTTAAATGCTAATAAATGAATACTGACTTAATGATGAATTGATCCAGGCCATATGACCATTTACCTAAATGTCAGGGTTTTTCTGCAGTGAACCTGTGAAATGTTTGTACCTGTCATGTTAACCAGATTGATCATGTGTTGCTTACCTCAGAAACTTTAATGGGATCCATTGCAGAGATAACTGGGTCTTCTCTTTTGTGCTAGAGTGATTTCCACCTAATACCATATAACTCTTTGAGGCAAAAAGCAGTTTCATTTTGGAATGTTTCTATAAATGACAAGTTAGAGATATAGTTCTGTTGAAATGAAAGCACACTGATAATATATAATTGTTCAGAGAACTGAATTTAATTTGTTTCATATTCTAAGTTACTCTTTTTGTTATAGCTTAGTATCGATAGGCCACTTACTGAGAGGGAATGAACCAGAAGCTAAGGCAAGCACTTATGATAAATTCCATTATCATTGTCAAATTAATTTCTATGTTATCTTTTCTCTACACCTATTTTTTATCAAAATTTTGAAGACAAACTTTCAATTTAAAGGAGACACATGCATTTTTTATTAAGAATTTTAAAAAACATTTATTTTGTGGTCATCGACAGATTCAGAGCTACATTTTATATGTATTTCTATTAGAAATTCTTTTGAAGAAGAGATACTTTCTTATTACTATTAAACTGTCAGTACCAAGCTTATTCTGTGGCTTTTGATGCTGTGTGTCATCTGACACTTGGCTTCCTGTCTAGCTTCCTGGCTTCCTGTCTAGTTTCCCTCCTCCTGCTCCATTATGTTCCCACCTCACTATGTTCCCACTTCTGTTTCTTAAATAGCTCATTCCCATCTAGGACCTTCGTGCCAAGGGTTACTTACATCTGCCTGGAGTTTTCTCATGGTTGACTGTTTTCTTAAAGTCTTAGCTCAGATGTCACCTGCTTGGAGAGAATGTTTTCATTTTTTATTGTCTAAAGCAATTCCTCCTTCATTCCTATAGCACTTTATTAGGATCCGAAATTGTGATTTCATTTGCTTATTTATTTATTTATTTTTATTAGCTACTTCACCTCATTTCCCCTACCTCCATAGTGAAATCTCAGCTGCCTTGGACATTTTAAACTTTTCTTTATTGAATCCCAAGTTTAGTATAACTACTGGCACAATTTTTTTAAAATGAGAAAATAATGTATTTAATGTTTTCCTAAACTCAGCAAAGGCTTCAGAATAATGCATTATGATCTAATTGAGACATCAATTAAAATTTTCATTATTTTTCATGAAGAGATCTTAGTTTTTTTCTTTTTTTGTCCAACTCCTCAAATCATAGAAATATGGAGAGTCAGATGTAGAGGACCTTAAAAACCCTTAGTTTTATCAATTAGCCAATGTCTCCTCTGATTTGTCTTTGCCACTAGAGAGCAATGCTTCCATACCTCATGTGATGAGCCGCTCACTACCTATCAGGGTAGTATTTTCCCATATTGGGCCATTTCAGACTGTTAGAGGGTTTTCTGTATTTTCAGCAGACATTTACCAATGTTAATTTCCATTCATTAGTCCTTGTTTGTCCTTTATAGGGCCACAAGAAATAGACCTTTTTCTTTTCTACATAATAGATCTCCAAATATTTGAAGATAGCTATCATCTATTTTTATTTCCTGGGTCCTTTCTTCTTTAAGTTAAATATTCTTTTTGTGTTCATTGATTATTTTTTTGTTCTTTTCTGAATGCATGTATAAAAAACTAGTGTCACCCAAGTCACTGAATAAGTCAGTGCTACCTTACCACAACATATTCTAATATCACAAAATCAATTGAGGAATGAATCCCAGTTATAATAATCATAGTTTAATACATTAACTTTAGAAAAAAGCAGTTTGGGGGTAGATTTGATTTTATTTCATGGCCATTCATTTTGTTACTGCAGTGGTTTGGTGACCTTGTGACTCCTGTGTGGTGGGAAGATGTGTGGCTGAAGGAAGGGTTTGCTCACTACTTTGAATTTGTTGGTACAGACTACCTCTACCCTGGCTGGAACATGGTAAGTACACTTTACTTGTTTGGAACTTTTAGGGAAAGTTTGATCTATTGTTACATTAGGCTTATAGCATGGCTAGAGAAGGCTGAAATACCAACTGATGCATAAAAAAAATCAGCTGTCCAATAAAAATTAGCTAAAATGTAAATATTAGTGTTCCAAAAGAGTTATCCTTTATCTTCTATAAGCTAAATAAGGCCTTGTTTGTTATACATTGACCTCAAAATGCAATAACCTATATAAATGGAAATATTTTAGATTGTAATATATTTTATACTAAAGACAAATTATTCTTTAAAATAGAGAATCAGCAGTAATTAACAAGTAATATTTTAAGTAACAGAATATTTCAATACAGAGAAAAATAATGACTTAACATCTCTTCAGTGAGATAAACCCAAAGTTAGCTAAAACATTTATTGTATTATTGTTATAGATGTATATATTTTAGGATTAAATAACTTAATAAGAAGTCATTAACTCAATTTATGAAGAGTTGTGTATATTACACTTGTATTTTATGAGTGTCTGAAGTTGAAGTAGGGTTTTTGTGCCTTAAGCTATGATGTTACAAGTCATTCACGAAGAAAAAGTAAGGGGAGGGTGTTTAAATGTCTGTTTAAGCAATGTTTAAGCAATTTTTCATTTTTCAGTGAACAAAAAGTTACTATGTTATTTTTAAATAGAACCTAGGGTATATATTATTTTGAAATTAAAATGTTAAATGTATTTTAAATGGGTCTGTTCAATTAATAAAAATTTATATTGTGCCAATATTTATCAACTTCCAGAAGCTCAAATTTGACTTGTGACATCATATTTGATTACATACATATGTATATACCATTCTATTGAGATTGATATACAAAAGCGCTATACATTGACATACAAAATTGACATACAAAAGCTGTACATATTTAATGTGTGCAACTTGATGAGTTTGGGGATAAGTATACACCCATAAGACCAGCACCACAATCTATGCCACACACCTGTCCATCACCTCTAAAAGTTTCTTCTCATCTTCTTTATTATTATTTTGTGATAAGAACATTTAACATAAAATCTACCCTTTTAGAAAGTTTTCCAGTGTGCAACACAGTACTGCTGACTATAGACACTATGCTGTCCAGTAGATCGCTTATTCTTCTTGCATTAGTGAAATGTTGCACCCTTTGTCTAATATCTCCTTGTTCCCTCTTCCCCCCAACCTCTGGCAACCAGCATTCTACTCTCTGCTTCTATAGACTCAACTATTTTAGATTCCTTTTATAAGTGAGATTTTGTAGTATTTGTTCTTCTGGGCCTGGCTTATTTCACTTGGCATTATGCCCCAGGTTCACCTATGTTTTCAAAATGACAAGGTTTCCTTCTTTTTTAAAGCTGATCAGTATTCCATTGCGTGTATGAGTATACCACATTTCTTTATCCATTCATTTTCAATGAATGTATTGCTTCTATGCTTTCGTATATTTTTTATGTTACTCTCTTCTGATGTTTAAACCATTAAAATAGGTGATTATCTAATTGTCATTATTAAAAGAATATTTTGAAAAGCATGTAAACCAAGTTGAAGTATGAAGTCATCTGTAAATCACCGAATAACTTCTCTGTCATAAATTTTTTTTTTTTTTTTGAGTTGGAGTCTCACTCTGTTGCCCAGACTGGAGTGCAGTGGCCGCTTCCGGCCACCGCAGCCTCGACCTGCTGGGCT